CATGGCGATCAACAGACACATATTGCCAGACAAGCAAGACGCCGACGTTGATGACATGCACACCAGCACGCTTCTGAAACCACAATCACACTCACCATCCAAGCTCCAAATTGATACTGCTCGCCACGACGACAAATAAAGGACGTGTTGGAGGTCCGAATCTGTGTGGGGCATCGGTGGGGCTAGCGCGTCTGCAAGGGTAAAAGACGACGTCGTGGGGCCCTCCGGTGACATTGCATATGCGCGTGCATGCTGACACGACCACCCAAAACAAGGTTTGAATAACCCTGAAAGAAACGCCGAAACAGTAAATTTGCTCAGCAGACCAGAACGCTGGAAAAAAAAAGACGAAGCAAGAAAAGGGGGGAGGTGAGGGGGAAAACATGACAAGACCGCGTACTGACCGAGTAAGGACCTCGATCATTCGGAACGGACAACACGATGGATTGGGCAGGTGAGCAAAGGCATTGAACATGACCCACCACACAGATTGGTTATCGTTCGAGCTTTTTTTGCTATATCAATGTACATACATACAATACCTAGCGTCCTATGTCGTACATGTGTCCGTATGTAGCGAGAAGGAATAATTTATGCATATATTGTACAACATTACGTTTCGTATTATGTAGATACCTATGCAACAATGCCACTATCTCTCAGCTCCTTGATTTCCTCCTTGCCATACCCCAGCACCTCTCTCAAGACCTCATCCGTATGCTCGCCTAATAGCGGCGGCGGCATTCGAATCTTGGGCTCTGCTCTTGAGTACTTGACTGGATGGTTTACGAGTTTGACTTTTCCAAGAGCCTTGTGATCGACTTCTTCTATCATCCCCCTTGCAAGCACGTGCTCGTGCTCTACAGTTGCCTTGATGTCGTTGACAGCCGCATACGGCATTCCACTGCCTTCAAAGATATCCAGCCATTCTTTTGTCGTCTTGGTCTTGAGCTCTGCCTCCACCATGGCGTCGAGTGTGGTGCGATGTTGTACGCGGAGCGCATTCGTTAGGAAACGTGGGTCTGACGCCCATTCTGGATGTGACAGCTTATCGCAAAGGATTTTGAACAGGCGATCATTGCATCCGCCTACTGCAATGTTGGTATCCTTTGTTGCATATGCCCGGTACGGCACTACCGTTGCTGTGCATCCTGTTAGCTTTATTTCAACGACCCATGTACACATCCATATTTCTATGTATTTCCCTAGCCAGTTCCCCTTCGATCCCCCACAAATTGGAAAAAGGCAACTTACCATGCGCGGTGCCCCATCTCCCACTATCCCCTTTGCCCGTCACCAATGCACTACTCGCGATATTCGCCAGCCCAGAAACCTGCACATCGCTCAAACTCGCATCGATCCACTGTCCCAGTCCCGTACTCTTACGCGCATACAACGCTGCTTGAATCCCAATCGCCGTGTACATGCCCGTCATGATGTCCGTAACCGCAACCCCAACCTTTACAGGCGGTCCATCCCGCTCGCCCGTAATGTGCATGAGTCCCATTTCCGCTTCCACCATAACATCGTAGCCTGCACGGTCGCGATACGGCCCGGTTTGCCCGTAGCCCGTCACCGACGCGTAGATGAGCGAGGGGTTGAGTGCCGAGAGGGTAGCATAGTCGAGTTTGTATTTTGCAAGTGAGCCAGGGAGATAGTTTTCCACCAGCACGTCACATTGCTGGACTAGTTTGTGCAGGATAGATGTTCCGGTAGGGTTATTGAAGGCGAGGCCCACGGATTTCTTGTTGCGGTTTACCTATGTTGAAGTAAGAAAATATGTGGTTAGTAGAGTCGGACTTGGACAAAAAGAGAGAGCGGAATAGGGAGAGATAGACTTACAGAAAGATAATACGCACTCTCTCCAGGAAACTGCCGTTCCACGCCATCAACGTACGGTGCATTCGGCGGCCCCCAAGATCTTGTGTCATCACCTCTAGTCGGATGCTCAATCTTGATAACATCTGCTCTGCTTCCCCGTCAGCAAAAAAACCCCAAGAATCAGAATTCAACCTCAACCCCGGTCACCATTTCCCCATCTATTTCCCCATAATCCGAAATAGGAAATACTTACCCCAAATCCCCAAGAATCTGCGTACAATATGGCTTTACACAAAAGAACCCGCTGTTAGTAAAAAGGATTCCGAAAGAAGATAGTATTACCTAAACGTACTTACCCCTGCAAGCACCCTCGTCATATCCAACACCTTGATTCCAGCCAACGGCAACTTCTCCACCGCCCTACTATCTGCATGGCTCGCTATCCCCCTCTTTACCCACGCTTTTTGCCCGGATGTTTGGAGAATAAAACATTGCATTCGTAGTTGTCGCCGGCTGCATCGCGCGAGGGAATACATGTTTAACGCCTAGTGTATGCTAGTGAGAGTGATTGAATAATCGAAAGAAATAAAGAAAAAAAATTGATATGTATGTATGGATGGATGGATGTATGAATGTAATGGCCGAGGTATGAAAATAGTCAACGCCCCACATACCGAACGCGTGCTTTTGTGGGGTCCTGGGGAGGGAGGAGAGGGAGATGGGAAGGCGGATGGTACGAAGGCACAGACGGATTGCTTCGTAGGTATGATGAACGGCAAGTAGGTGGGAAAGAAGAACATGTATCAATTTCTACCTCCACGCTGCATGCCAATAATCTCAAGATATCCTTACAAACCGTCCGTATGACGTATAAATCTACTTGCCAGCAAGACCAAAAGAAAAAGAAACGAAGAAGGGAATGACATAGCTAAGCTTTTACCCCATTAATACCATTAACCTTCCCTTTTCCCACACCCAAATAGCCCTCAAGCTCCTCTCTATGCACCCCATCATCATCCCTCGTATTTGCACCATGCGCAAAACCCCCAAAGTAATACGGTGCAAGTCGCTGTTTTTCAGCGATCTTGTCTTGCTTGATGCGAGCGAGGAGGTCTTGGGCGCGCTTGTTGGATGAGAAGCGGTCCTACGAGATACTTCATCAGCAAAAGGGAAAAGAAAGCAAGGAACGGGGGGGGGGGGGAGAAGGGGAACGCACAGGTAGATTATCCCAAACTTTATAGTTCGTACCATGTGTTTCGATGACACCACAGCCTTTTCGTGCGTACTCTGTCCAGAGGAAGAGACGGCTGGATTCGATCATTATGGTGAGTTGGTCTGGTTCCCCTCATTAGCATTCCATCACATGATGAATGTTCCATATCCAAGTCGAGCTTTCTTACCGGTCAATATCTTCTCAGGCTCACTCTCATGGATCCGCATGCCGTGTTGGTATCCCTCATGGAAGCCACCATGCGGCGTGTGGCTACCTTCGAAGCTGCCGCCGCCGGGCTGGAAGTCGTCGCTGCGGCCGAGGCCCTTGCCGTATATGCAGGCGAGGAACTCGGAGGCTGAGTTGCGGTGGAAGTAGGGGAGGCGGAAGGTGTTTGTTGCTACATCCCAGCGGGGCCCGAACCATAGAAAGTCGCAGAGTGGTGTTAGGGGGTCACGAGATTTAGCTGTGAGGACGGTGAAGATGGATGGGTCGGTGTGGTCGATTGATGTGCTGTTTTGGGAGGAGAATTTGGTGAGGTCGTACTTGTAGGGGACGACGTTGCCGTGCCATGCTACGAGGTCGAAGGGGCTGTGGTCTTGCTGGATGGCTACGAGTTGGCCATTGGTCTTGTTGACGATTTGCCAGTTCTCATGTAGTTCTTCATCAATGGCAGCCACTGGGTATAGGAAGTCACGAGGATTGGCTAGTCCGTGGCCACCCAGAGGCCCAAGATCTGGGAGCTCCCACATAGAGCCCCACACTTCTGTGATGTACCCACGGGCGACCGGCGTATCCGGAGCGAGGTTGAGACAGAATCTGATACCACGTTGAATCACACAAATCTCTCCTGGCTGGAGGAAGATCTTTCCCATCTCAGTCTTGATGTCGAGATTGCCCTGTTGGGCACAAATGAGGAAGTCGCCGTCAGTGTTGCAGAATGCTCGTCGGTCCATGCTAGAGTTGATCATGTAGACATAGAGTGCAATACCCTCTCTGATGTTTGGATCGCCACTGCCGGCAAGCGTGTGCAGACCGTCGGCAAAGTCAATCTTCTCGTCATCTTTGGGCAATGGGAATGGTCTCCACTCAGCTTGCTCAGGCAGAGTCTCGACCTTTGGGTTGATAGACAAAAAGCAGTTTGTGATGTTGGACTTGGATTCAAACGGAATGTATCCCTCTGTTGAATCTTAGTGATGACCTCATCGTATTGAACAAAATACATACGGTGAGCAGCCGCTGGCCGGCAGCGGTACATATAAGTACTATAGTTGTGTGCGCGGGGAGCCGCAAATGCCGAATATGTAATGCCTTCAGTATAGAGGCCAAACCGGACTTCTTGAGGATTGTTCTGTGCCACTGGAAGTGTGCCTGGAATCACTTCAGATTGATGTCGATTTCCCCATCCTGCTTGATAGTCGTATGGATCATTGGCTCGTGTTGGCTTTAGCCTCTGGAGATCGGTATAGTGGAAAGCCTTCTGTGGGTCGGTGACGAGTTTGCGTTCTTTGAAGTCTTGCATCTTGCTCAATGTTTGGATATGTCGAATGAATACGCCAAAACTTACAGTGTCGAAAAAATCAGCCTTATATTGGACTTCTCCTCTTTGTGGAACTGTATGCCGACATCTGCCGCCACTAGATGATCGGTCTGTGCATGATGTGGTGGCGGGGCCTAATGCGCATGATAGCGGGGTTACGTCTTCGGGATATGGGTTCCAGGAGCTGCAAAAGACCCACAACGAGTGAAGGATGACCAGGACCGGGTTAGTGGGACTCGTGAGGTCAGACTGTCTTACCTGTTGCTTGGGAGATGGAACCACATCGTGGGCCTTATCATTCTTCGTCTGCGGGGTGTTTTTTCGAACTTGGGGAGAAATCTAGTGCTTACTCAGATGTGGCATGGCGAATTTACAAGTCAATGGTCACCAAATTGAGCGGCTGATTTACAAAAATCATCATTTAGTATACTATTTCGATGCAGCTAAGACTTCATCTACCATGAGTCCGCACGAACCCAGGTAGTTCTTGGCATCACATAACGAGCTCAATTCCTCATAAGAGATCTTGTCCGTTATCTCAGACCGTGTCTGCAGAGCTTCTAACAAACTGGTATCACGCTCTATACTCTCCTTGCATGCCTCGTAAACGATATCGTGTGCTTTTGAGCGACCAACATGTGGCGCAAGACCCATCATGACAGCCTCAGCCACGATAAGGCCCTTTGTCGAATATAGATTCGTGAGCATTTGCTTGGGATTCACAACTAGCCCAGAAAGCGCAAAGTCAGCCTGGTTGAGTGCACCAACTGCAATGACAAAACTTTCTGGGACAGCCACCCATTCCAGATGCCATGGTCCAGAAGCGCGCTCGAAATCTGACACCATGCCATCAAGCACCAAGCCTGCATTTGATCTTAAGATCTTTGACGCCGCCAGAATGACCTCGCTTGAAATGGGATTCCTCTTTTGCGGCATAGTAGACGAGGCGCCTCGGTGTGGCACAAACGGCTCTGATACCTCGGAGAGCTCGTTTGATGACATGATGATAATGTCTAGGGCCAATTTTCCTAGAGATCCACCAACGAGTGCAAGATAATTGGTGATCTCTGCAACGCCGTCTCGTGCAACATGCCAAGTAATGGGAGGATCTGTAAGCCCAAGGTCTTTTGCCATCTCCTTTCGAACACGAATGCCATGGTCGCCTGAGCCGAGTGAAGCCAAGGAACCCGCAGCTCCTCCAAATTGCACCATTAGTGCGCGGTCCTTGAGCTGTTCCAAGCGTTCAAGGTGTCTTTGAAATCCTGAAAGCCAGATGGCGCACTTGTGGCCAAATGTGATAGGAAGAGCATGTTGCAAGTGTGTGCGGCCAGCCATGGGCGTATCTCTATGCTTTTTCGAGAGATGTTCAAGATTCTTAATGACGGACCGTAGTGTGCGCTCGACAATCTGGAGGCCTTCCTTCATCTGCAGAATGCTTGCCAAATCCATGATATCCTGCGTGGTAGCGCCCCAATGCACGTAGCGGCCGGCCTCATCACCACAGGATGCAGACAGCTGGCGTACTAACGGGAAGATGGGGTATCCGACAATTTCAGTCTCACGACGTAGCTTGTCATAGTCGAGCTGCGCCTCCCTGGCTTTTGATGTCACAACTTCCCCAATGTGAGAGGGGATGACGTTGCATTTTGATTGTGCCCTGGCCAGGGCTGTCTCAGCGTCGACGCATCGGTCAATGTATGCCTTGTCGTCGAACACTTTTCGAATCTCATCCGTGCCAAAGAGGGTGCGAAAGATGACTGAATCAATTGCGCTGACGCTGCCGAGCAGTCGCCGCTGAGGGCGAATAGTGTTTAGTCGTGGAATTGCACGTAGTGGGGCGCGTCGAAGCAAGAACATGATGAGTAGCTTTTGGATGGGGCGAAACTCAATGGGCCTTGAAAGGAGATAAACCTTTCAAAAAGGCCCGCTGCGGCAGACACAACATGGCGGCTCCTTGCTGGTAGGCGGTGGATAGTGGAAGCCGGGCGTGTGGGACGCGAGGTGCAGCCTCAGTGTGGGGAAGAGCAGAGCGGAGTCTATGCATATGGGCGCATGTGTGGATATACCGGTACGGGCGGGTCCTGCCCTTGGCGGTGGCGCACTAGTGCACGTGACTTCGTGTCAATCCCGCATGCCTACACGCGTTCCGCTCTACAGTCACTGTCGTTGCCATCACCACGACCATCGCCATGACCATCACTCCTCATTTCTGAATTTTCATCTACCATGCTACGACTCTCGTACGAACAGCGATGCCACGCCTAGGCCAGTGCTGGCACACATGCTCACAATGCCAATCTCCTTGTCCTGACGCCGCAGCTCCCCGAACAACGTCGCTGTCTGACGCGCACCCGTGGCTCCAGTGGGATGCCCAAGCGCTATAGCCCCACCATTTGGATTGACTTTTTCTTCATCCAGCCCCAGTTGCCGTATACATGCAATCGTCTGGCTCGCAAACGCCTCGTTCAGCTCGATAATGCCCACGTCCTTGAGCTCTATACCCGTCCATCTCAGTAACGCTGGTATGGCGAAAATGGGGCTGATACCCATCTCATCCGGCGCACAGCCCTTAATCTGTGTGCCTACAAAGCGGCCCAGTGGTTGAAGTCCACGAGCTTCTGCCCATGAACGTCGAGCAAGGATCGTGGAAGATGCTCCGTCGGAGATTTGCGAGCTACCTTGTTAGCTTTGCGACTGTAAGTTGAGAGCGCGTCTTACGAATTGCCTGCAGTGCTCTTGCCGTTCTCGCCAAATACAGGCTTGAGCGCTGAAACTTTATCAAAAGTCAGTCCGTGCCGGATACCGTCGTCTTTGGTGACTTCGAATTCCGCTGGCTGCCCGCTCGCTTCATCAATTCGTCGCACCTTCACAGGTACAGTCTCCCAATCGAAGCGGCCTTCTTTTTGTGCACGACTCGCACGTTCGTGGCTTCGTACAGCGTACTCGTCTTGTGACTTCCGATCAATACCATATCTGTCCGCTACGTTTTCTGACGTGATGCCCATGGGCATGAGGCAATCGCGAGCATCTTTGACGTTTGATTCCAAAAGTGTAGGCGAAACATCCGTTGGAATGCCCCGCGAGCTGTAGTTCCTTGACATGCTTTCCACGCCTCCAGCAAGCCCCACGTCCACCTGACCCACCATGATTGAATGTGCTATGTGGGTTATTGCCTGCAAGCTACTCGAGCACTGACGGTTGACTGTGTGGAAAGTAGTTGAGTTTGGGAAGCCAGCATGGTTCAGCGCCATTCGTCCGGTCTTTGCAAACCCAAGTTCTGCGAGAACGTTTCCTATCAAGACGTCGTTGACGTCGTTCTTTTCGATCCCGGCCCGCTCTACAGCAGCTTGCATGACCTGGAAAAATTAATGATTGCTCGAGATCTATACACAATAGAACCCACCGGCATCAGAATATCCTCTGGATGTGCATCTTTGAATCCACCCTTGAAACTCCGATTAATTGGTGACCTGACAGCCGAAAGCAATACAACATCATTTGGGTTCTTCTGCAGAATATTTCGCGCCGCTCTGCTAAAACTTGCCATCTTCGCGAAGACTCGAGGATTCCATGATCCATTACGAGCAATGTGGCGCTCTACATATGTAACGCATAGTCAAACGCGGTGCAGGGACTACCGCATGTGGTCGCGGTAGTCGCTGTGGCGGGGCTATCGTCTGTGTGGGGCGACGCCGGAGACCCCTCCATGACGAATGGTGCAGCATGACACTAATGTTTGCCGGATCTGGCCTGCATGAAGACGCAACAATTCACTCTCACCATCTTTGCCCGCATACTAAGACAAAAGCGACACTACACGATGGCTCTTCCGAACAAATACCAGAATGGCAGCATTGACTCCACTACCAAGGGAGTGTACAGAGCATCGCCCATCAAGCTCATGATATACGGCAATGGTGAACACACTCCCTCTATTTTCTCAACAGGGCTAATTATTAATGCTAGGAACAAGTAACCAGCTTTTAGATGTTATTACCGAGCTCGGTGCAACCAAAGCCTTCATCATCACAGGCCGATCATTGTACGAGAAGACGCCGGTAATTAAAAATATCGAGAAGACTCTGGGATCAGCTCATGGCGGTACATTCAGCAAGATTGGTCAGCATGCGTAAGTAGTTTTCAATCTTTCCATCTCACTGGAAACTGATTTCATCTAGGCCGATCCAGGACATTAAGGAAGCAACATCCTTGATGGTAAGATCAGGTTGTGATGCGCTTGTATCCATAGGAGGTGGATCACCCATCGACTCGGCAAAGGCCATTGCATACAACATCCACCAGGAGACTGGAAAATGGATACCTAGCATTGCTGTTCCGACAACGCTCAGTGTGGCTGAGACCACACAAAATGCCGGTTTCACTACCGAGGAGAAGCACAAGATTGCAGTCAGCCACCCGGAGCTGGTACCCAAGGGTGGGTGGTAACATATCCTAAGATGTCTGAGCACTTTCTAACTATCTTCAGTCGTGATTTATGACGGAGACATTGCCGTATATACACCCCTGAATCTCTGGACTAGTACAGGGGTATGAAGCGCACATGCTACAAACAACTTGTTTTTGATTGTTGACTGACTTGACTCAGATACGCTCTTTGGATCATGCAGTGGAGCTCATGTACCACCCGCTTGCAGCCGAAATACCTACGAAGCGCATGGCTTTGGAGGCGATCAAGGATCTGTTCACCTACTTGCCCCAGTCAAAGGCCAACCCTAACGATGCTGAAGTTCGCACGAAGCTTTTCATTGCATGCTATTCGTCACTCTTCCCTTTCCTCTACACCGGTGGCCTTGGTCTTAGCCACAGTATCGGTCATGCAATCGGTGCTACATATAATATTCCGCACGGCATCACCAGTTGTCTCAGTCTAGCTCCCACAGTACACTACAAGGCTAGTAACCCAGAAGAAGCCAAGCAGATTGCCAGGATCATCCCGTACATTGGCAAACAAAGTGCCGGTAGCGACGAGAAGGATTCGCACATCGTCGCTGATGCCATTGCGGGCCTAGTTGAGGAGCTAGGACACAAGACTACATTGACAGCTGTGAGTTGCTTGAACACATTTAAGTCACAAATACTGACATGCCTCCAGTACAATGTGCCAACAGGGGAAGCTGAAGAAGAAGCCATTGCCTTGCGCGCACTGCACAGTAAAGAACACAAAGACTTTGCTAGCTGTAAGTCATTTTACTAACAGCCTCACATCCAGCAGCTAACATTTTCTACAGTGAAGCAAGTTGTGCGTGGCCTCTATTGAAACATGCGCTAGAAGCAAGGAAATGAACCGTAGTAGATGTAATTGAAGTGTAGCTTGTTTGATGAATCAAACTAGTAGTTCTATAAGGCCGAGATACCACCAGCATGTGAACTAACTATGCTAGATTTGACAAGCGGAAACATTTTCCATACAAGCGGTGGAAACCTTTTCCATGTCCGAACCCTATGGCATTTTCCGCTGCATGATTTGACCAATCAACGTACGTTTTGCCCGCAACCTCCGCAATGTCCTCGGTTAAGCTCTTTTCCGCCGCCTCCGATTGTGGAGACATTCTCACCCGCCATCGGCGCGGCACTTGTGTCGGTCTGCCCCAACTCGCTAGTAACAATGATGCATAGTCTCGTGCTGTCCGTGTGGGGAGTGTCATCTCCGCACCAGATTTCCCACCACCACAATTTCTCTATCATCTTTGGCCGTTGACAACTGTAAAGGACATTGGAGCCTATCGCTGTGACGTAGATACCCTTGTGCTGAAGTCCAGTTATTCCTTGAAACATCTAGCAACTCAACACCTGAACACCTACTGATCGGATTGAGCACACATACATCAACCTTAATTTGTTTCTTATTGTACAACGACCAAAGCCTTCCGCAATGCAAAGATCTCTACTCTTTTCAGCGCGCCGCCGTGGCCCGGCGACAGGCATGCGCTTCTTCTCCGCCAGCACATCACGACCCGCAATCAACAAGATAGTCTCTTCCGCAGAAGACGCTATCAAGGACATGAAGTCTGACTCCACGCTGCTGGTTGGTGGCTTTGGTTTCTCTGGAGTACCGAACACCCTTATTAATGCTCTACGCGATCGATCCGACCTCACAAACTTCACAGTTGTCAGCAACAATGCTGGTATGCCGGGTGTTGGACTGGGACAGCTTCTGGAAACTAAGCAGATTGGCACCATGATTGCGAGTTATATTGGAGACAACAAGGTGTTTGAGCAAATGTACTTGAAGGGAGAATTAAGTCTGCAGTTGACCCCTCAGGGTACCATTGCAGAAAAGTGCGCTGCGGGTGCTGCAGGCGTACCAGCTTTCTACACACCGGCTGCATATGGAACAATAGGTGCGTTTTGCAGAAGAACTTTATTGAAGAATGTTGACTGACATGTTGTAGTACAAACTGGTGAACTGCCAGTCCGCTACAACACTGACGGAACGATCGCAAAAATGGCACCGCCAAAGGAAACACGTGAATTCAATGGAAAATCGTATGTCATGGAAGAAGCTATCTTCGGAGACTATGCATTCGTCAAGGTTGCCAAAGCCGACCGTCTCGGTAACTGCCAGTTCCGAAAAGCACAGAACAACTTCAACGAAGCAATGGGCAAGAATGCAAAGATGACTATCGTGGAAGCAGATGAGATTGTTGAGGATGGCGAGATTGCACCCGAGGATATCCATCTTCAGGGGATCTACGTCAAGAGGGTGATCAAGAGCACAGTAGGCAAAGCGATTGAGAGAAAGGTGTTCTGGAAGAGCCCTGAAGAGCAGAAGAAGGCGCTTTTGGAAGGTGGTACGTCTTGGTTGAGATTCTCAGTAAAGAGGCTTCGTAGACTGACAGTCTATCAGGATCATCCGAAGCATCACAAAAGCGTGAGCGTATCATCAAGCGCGCAGCACAAGAGCTCAAGGACGGCATGTACGTCAATCTTGGTATTGGCATGCCTCTCGCAGCACCCGCTTTCCTACCCGAGGGCACTGAAATCATACTTGAGTCTGAGAACGGCATCTTGGGTATGGGAAGATATCCTAAGCCAGGAGAGGAGGTAGGCTCAAACATCCTTCTGCACAAGAGCCAAACTTACACGAAAACAGGACCCAGACTTGATCAACGCAGGAAAAGAAACAGTCACACTCATCAAAGGCGCATCAACATTCGGAAGCCACGAGTCATTCGGTATGATCCGCTCCGGACGGATAGACGTCGCGATGCTCGGCGCCATGCAAGTAAACCAATACGGAGGTACGTCTCTTTCCCCTCCAACAAACCACTAAGACACCTCTGTAACTCCAGCGTCTAGACCTAGCAAACTTCATGCTCCCCGGCAAAGTCAAAGGCATCGGCGGCGCCATGGACCTCGTCGCCAACCCCACACAAACCAAAGTCGTCATCACCATGGAACACGTCGACAAGAAGGGCAACCCCAAGATCCTCAAGCAATGTACATTCCCGCTCACAGGCCAGAAGTGCGTCAGCACGATTATTACTGATCTGGCGGTGTTTGAGTGCGATCGTGTGGAGGGCTTGACATTGATCGAGCATGCCAAGGGGGTGACGGTTGATGAGATTAGGAGTAAGACGGAGGCGCCGTTTAGGGTTAGTGAGGGCTTGAAGGAGATGGTTGTATGAGTTTGGGGAGAGGAGAGATGATGAAAAAGATTTGAGGTTTGCGGAGTTTGATAGCGATGAATTCATGTATTACTCTTTCTTATCTAATTTTATGATACGAAAGAATTCTTGAACGGATGAGATAATGTCCAAGATGTGTATTACGTATGTAAGTACGCAGACCTGAGATGACATCTCGATTAGTGTCCGTGTACGTCCAAGTGTAATACGTGCATGGATAGTACATGTTTATCGTGCATCGATGTGAGGAAACAATACGACTCTTTCAGAAAATCCCTTTAGTTATATGAAGACAATACTCGCGTTCAAGTAAAGTAATCAATCATCAATGGCTTTCCCAATAGTAACTGCTGAGCTTTCTTGCCTCCATATCTGATGACGATTAGACCTTCTCAACATGGAAGTTTACTTCTTAACCCGCTTCTAAAAACGGATCGAACCCCGGAGCCTCCCGTCTCACAACTTGTAATGACGCAATACGGTGAGTACATCTGTGTCGCAACACGAAGATCGCGACTGGAATCAGCCAATGGGGCTATATTGGAGCGCACTATCTAACGTCGTCGATCGTTCGGCGCTTACTCTAACAACCTACCGTGATATTATTTCTTCGCAAAACCTGTTGCTTAGTGCTTATTTATGCCTCTTTGAATGACTCAGATATATATTTGGAGGAGTCTACAAATGACTATTTAAGACTAACAGCGACACTGTTGTCCATACTCTAGGAGCCTGTTTGCTGTTTGCACCCAGTCACCACCGCATTATACCAATAGCTTTGTACTCACTATATCTCCAATTGAAGAAAAGGAGAGATTAGTTGTTCAAGATGATAATCGACCTGAATAAGATCTTCCTCCTCCTAGCTGCCGCCAGGATCATTCGTGCCAACGAGATGCGTGTGAAGTGGAGAAATCCGGTAACAGATTCTCCGGCACCGACTCCTCTCCCATACTATGTGAGTCAATTCACTTCCTTGTATACTCTTATAATTTCTAATACTAACACTCTAGATCTGCGACCCATATCGGCAAATATGCGGCAATGGCGATCCAGACAAGATTACCAAATGCAGGGTAAGTACGAACTGTAGCTTTTCACTTCCGTTATACTAACTCAATGACAAATGCGTTGCACTGACTGGCATGGTTGCGAACCTCAACGTGATGGAACAGCATACTGCTCTTAAGAACCCACTGTTGGAATGATGGACCAGTTTGTGGGCAGGGTCAGATGAATTGAGCTTTGTCTGTAGCACCTGAGACAGATATCACATATCCCGTAACATAGATAGCCAGACCGATTATTGAATCATGACACCCAGCAAACCCTTTGCCCTTTTCTTCTCAGAGATTAATCCAATTCCCAGAAATCAAGCTATATGACATTTGTCCCAATTGACTACTAACTCTCCCCCATCCCCTCTTACAATACTACTCCCCAAACTCCCACGTTCCATTCTCCCTCCTCACCCCCCTATCCTCATGCCCCTCGGGCAACTTCCCCCCAACAAACAAATAGATACTACTCCCATCTCTATCCTTGCAACGCTCGTCCTCAGCCGCCTGCCTCCAGACCTCCAACGCCTTCTCCGCCATACTACACCCAGTCCCCACTTGCCTCGCACTCTGGACCCCAAGCCCCAAATCCTTAACCATCATCTGCGTCTTGAACCCAGGTTTGTAACCGCTATTACTCGGGACCCAGTACTCCGTCTGCACGTTCGGCACCGGCATCACATGGTCGCACATCCAGGATTGGCCGGTGCTGGATTTGATGACGGAGTAGAGGGCTGAGGGGTCGAGGCCGTGCGAGATTCCCAGGGCGAGGGCTTCGGCGGTGGCGAGCAGGATGGTGCCTGAGAGGTAGTTGTTCGCGATTTTGGCGGTTAGGCCTGCGCCGAGGGTGTGGAGGTAGAAGGATTTTGATGTGGGACCCAGCATGGAGAGGATGGAAGTGAGGCGGGCGGATAGGGAGGGGGTGGAGGTGGAGGAAGAGGGAGGTGGATGGCCGATTAGGAGGGCTAGAGTGCCTGCTTGGGCGGCGGGGACGCCGCCGGATACAGGGGCGTCAATGTACGTTCCTAGGCCTGCGTGGTGGAGTGCTGCGCCGACTTCTTTTGTGGTTTGCACGTCGATGGTGCTGCATTCTAGCATTATTCGTTCTTGATCCTTACGCGCGGCGATGACCCCAGTTTCGGGGTCGAGATATACTTTTTTGACGTCTGAGCCGTCCGGTACGATGGAGATGAGGTATTTGGCTTTTTCGGCGGCTTCTCGTGCTGAGGCGGTGATTTCTATGGGACCGTGGCTAGAGTTTTCGGACTTAAAGCGTGTGCAGGATGAGGCGTTGATGTCGTTGATGTAGAAAGTGGAGGTTGCAGGCATTTTGAGGCGTATATTGGATGCCATTGCGTAACCCATTGCACCCAGACCTGTTGCATAGTTGTCAATAGATGTTCTCCGTATACACGTCCTTGTTTGCTGGTCTTGGTGAGAGTACCGATGAATGCATAGTCTTCTGTCATAATGTCCAAAGTCGTTTGTTCCTTTCTTTTCACCAATAATCTCACTCAGCCTATGATATCGAAGTTTATCAAAATGACGTTTTCTCAAACCATATGTTCTTTTCTTCGAACCTTAGTCCGTAGTAGATGTCTACATGCACCCTAGTTCTGTTTAGGCTTTACCCCAGCCTACGCTGCCCCACATGTACCCCTCTCTTTCCCCAACGCTGCATCCCCAACTTACCAGCCTTGGCCAAATACTACGTCGGCTGTTGAGTGTTGCGTCATCCTGTTTGGACAGGGATACGAATTTGTGTAACAACCATGCAGAGTACTACTACAAGGGCAGTAATTATAGAATCCTGCTTTGCGTTGTAAACATCCACCAGTTCCCATCTTCTCCAAAGAAACCCAAACCAACTGTTTCATTCACCCAGCCATGCCTCCTTCTTCTCCCCTCAAAATTGCCGTGATTGGTCCTGCAGGTTTTGGTGGCTCGTACCTCTGTGTTGAACTAATAAATCGAGGTCACAATGTAATCGGAATATCGCGCAACCCAGCAAAACTAGGAAAGCACGAGCGCTACATCCCCCGACCCGTGGATATAGATGCAGCACCGATCGAAAAGATTGCTGAAACATTCAAAGACGCCGATGCGCTCGTATGTGAATTTGGGCCTCATACAGCAGGAGCAGGGGCATTATTATATAGTACGTTTCTCTCCTTTTGCCCTACATCTCCTTGCACTCATGTACACCTATCTTAAAGCCTTTACGTGAAAAACACCGCACGTACAAAAAAAGAACAAAAAACAAACTAACGAACTTCCTCCAGTGCCCTTCCTAGAATCGGTCCGCAAAATCATCCTCGCCCACAAACTGCACCCAACCTCCTACTTTCTCTTCGTCGGCGGCGCCGGCTCCCTCCACGTCCCCGGCACCTCGCTCCCCTGCGTCGACCACCCCGACTTCTTCCTCGCCTACCGCCGCGCAATCTCCACATCCCTCGCTCACATAGCGTACATGGAGGAGCGCCTCGGCATCATGGGCACGGCGCTGCGTCGATACCGCACTGCGCGTCTGGCGTCGCCACCTTCGGAAGAAGATTTGGCCGCGATTGCAGAGTACGAGCGCCACATCCAGAGCAAAGACGATGCGAACGATTTCATCAAAGCGGGGCGTACTTCGTTCATGTTCTTCGATGGGAGGACAGATTTTAACTGGAGTTTTGTGTCACCGCCTGCGTTGTATCGGCCGGGGAAGCGCACAGGGAAATATGAGATTAGCGTGGATGATATGGTGCTTTTGGGGGAGCGACAGGAGGGCAAGGATATCTTTGAGGGGCGACTGACGGGGATTAGTGTGGGGGATATGGCGATTGCGATTGCGGATGAGGTGGAGCAGAGGAAGTTGGTTGGGACGCATTGGTCGGCTTGGGGGGATATTAGTGAGGATGTGCCTGCACCAGCATATGCGTCGTTGGAGGCGGTTGGGGGAGGGAATTAAGAGGAATTACTGGACCAGGAAGTCTTTCTCCTGATTCTATGTTGGATGTTTTTGATGTTTATGATTATCTAAACATTGTGGTCTATTCTAGTTTGACCCACTTCATGTTTAACCTAACATCAGGCTTCCTGTATAGCTACTTATTTTGAAAATAGTCAGAAAAAACCTTTAGTACTGCGTCGAACCCAATCTTCTCTGCAATCTTCAATACGTGTTCGTCTCGCCCAATCTTTGTGGGGGCACCATCTGGCACCCACCTACTTGTCACGCCGTCGGCACTCGGCCCATATACCTTCGCGCTCAGCTTGTCCTGCTGCACCGGCGGCCACGGGTTCTCACCATTGATGAATTTGATAAAGTCTGCTCCGTATTCCTTGGCTACCTTAAGTTGCGCATCATCCAAATGTTCGTTGAAATTTTGAAACAGATACGTTACGTCGAGAATATGGCCGGCTTCGCCTTTGAACCGACCTTCCCAAGGTATACCCTCGTTGAAGTGATAAAGGAAGAGTTTCGATTCGGGGGTATTTGGCCAACCCTGAGCAAATGCACGTGAGGCAGCGTAAAAGCAAATTTCAGACGCGAAGCGTACGAAGGCGAGGATTGCTTCGTCGTCTGAAGTGGAGGCAGTGATGTTGTAAGCTGCAAGTAATTCTGTAGCTACTTCTGGTTGGGCAGACAATGTTCTGTTGCAAGAGTTGATGAATGCTTGGGCAATGCCAGGCTTACGGGCATCTAGCGTGGTGAATGCGAAGATATTGCCCTAGATAACGTTAGCTTTTGCTCCTTTACAACTTGCACAAGAGCTTACATCGAGCTTCGAGTCTCCTAGCATTAAGGCTTTGCACCATTTTCGGCCAGGCAGCAGGAAATTAGGCTTGTCTTCTTGAGATGAAACAGTTGAGAAATCAGGGAAGCCAGGTACTGTATTATTGTCAATGGAAGGCATCATAGGCGCTGATGGTGGTGCCTTTTGCCAAAGATCGTCGACTGGCAAGGCCAAGAGAGCCTTGATGCGATCTTCTGGAGACAGTTCTGCGAGCCCAAATGCTTCAATGACATTTTGGTAGGCGGACTCAGCCACGGATTCTGGGATGGGTAGAACGAGGAGCGGTGTTCCCCCAGTACTAAGACCTTGCTTCATCAATGGCTCTTTGGAGCCCAGTAAGTATATCACAGATGCTGTAAGAGTCAGACATGCTTTCAAGGTCACCGTTTGTTGAACGTACCGCCTCCAGCACTTTCTCCGCACGCTGTGATCTGGTCGGGATCGCCACCAAAGCCACCTATGAATTTACTAACCCACTGCAGTGCAGTACGCTGGTCATGAAGGCCGTTGTTTGCTTTGTATCCAGCTTTTCGTAATTCGGCTGATGTCAGAAATCCCGTTACACCCAATCGGTAACTGATTGGCTTAGCATGGAGTCATTATACTACTATCAGCCAGACCTACTTGATAGTGACGCCGATTATAGGCTTCTTCATGTTAACGGACATCTTCACGATAGGAGCCGGGTCATATTGCGGATACCAGCCGCTTCCAACTGCAAATCCACCTCCATGGATGAAAACGTAGACTGGTAGCTTTGCATTTGGGTCGATGGAACCACTTTTGTCTGTAGGTACAGTAATGTTAAGATTCAGACCTTCACGATCTGACTGTGCTGGAACCTCTGGTAACGGCAGGGACTGTTGGATAAAGCTAAATTCTGCATGAATGGAGCCAGCTGGCGATACTGGAGGAGGCCTGGATTGATTTAGCAGCTGTTGGGTGGTGGAAAGGTATGTTGTACGTACCCAAACTTGGTGGCATCTGTGTTTCCAGGACCATAACTACCCGCCAACTCAGGCGGAGCAAATCGGTCTTTTATCGAAGCGTACTTGAGACCTAAGAACTGTGCGACTCCATCTCTTTGGTTTCCCTTGATTTCCCCAAGCGCTGGATGCTTGAGAGTTGCTGACATGTTGATTATCGCAACGAGACAAGGCGCGGTCGCTAGGAGTGTAACGCAGCTGTAATTCCTGCTATCGTTCAACAAAAATGCCTTGATATCAGCTCGTATCACAGTTGGGGGAGGCGACAATCTCGGTACATGTTCGGATGAAGGCGGAAAGAAGTCCGGGTGGAAGCCGACTACCTACCCCGCTTCACCAACCACCCGACTAGTGGGGCAAAGCACGACATCCACACACGGCAAGTAGATGGGCAAGGATATGTACCACTTATGTGTCTCGAACATGTACTTAGAATGGCCCTTATAGGCTGTGAAATGGAGCGGCTCAGTGCATCCGCGCTGTTAAATGTGAATAGTGAGAACAACGAGTCATCTAGTCTGTTGTACCACGCCAATCAAGATTTACGTGCATCATGGTACGAGACAAATCTAATTTGCCCTCTACAGACGCTTTCGTTAGTCTCTCGCTACTTGATGGCGGTAGTTTCGTTGCTGATTTGAGCCGCATGCATGCTGGCGGGAGCGGGACTTTTCGCATGTACAATTGGGCATTTTATATTGCGCACAAGGAAAGACATGTACTTTGGGACTTGGGCTTAGATGAGGTCAGTGTGCTGGGAAGACTGGAATTTGCGGGCCTTTACTAACTTTGTCACAGGACCGGAGCTGCTATACACCTTGGGTCAACAAGCACATGCTGCAGTACATTAACCATGTTGGCCCAAAGCGTACCATTGTACAACAGTTGTTCGAGCGAGGCGTTGCAGCCACAGACATTGATACCATTCTTTTCAGGTACAACGTCTTCATCGAAACATCTAAACATGTATCGACTAACAAACGAGCAGTCACGCTCACTGGGACCACTGCCGACCAATTTCCGACGTTTTTTCAAATGCCAAAGCGTGTTTTGGTCCAGGCACAAAATTAGCATGCCAGCCGGGTCATTGGAAAAATTCCGACCTGCAGTGGGATGGGCGCTTCTTTGACCCAGATCACGCCACCGAGACCTGGGAAGAGCTACAGGGCGATTGGAAACAATTTGGACCGTTCGAAAAGGCTCTAGATTATTTCGGAGACGGTAGCTTTTGGATCTTGGATGCACCAGGACACATGCCAGGCAATCTTGCTGCCGCCGCCAGATTGCAAAATGGCGAATGGGTCGTTCTTGGGAGCGATTGTAAGTTGTTCATAAGTACAGCTGCCAGCGTTGACTAACCAAGTTTGAGTTCAGGCTGTCATTCGAGGTTTGTTACACCCAGATGCGCGGGAAATTTGCTAACAAACTAGGGAATTGCTCGATGGCGTGCAAGATATTGCACAGTTTCAAGGTCCCGACTTGAAGCCCATGTCTCTCCACACAGACATTGCATCTGCTAGAGATACTATGGCCAAGCTGCGGACGTTAGAAACTGACTACGGGGCTCATATAGCGCTCGCACACGACGCTTCGTGGTTGAAGAAGGGCACAGATAGGGTGCTGATGTCGCTGCTGGATGAGAGGATGAAGCTGGCGGCTAAAGAAAAGATAGCTCATGATGCGATACCTTAGTTAAGATTTCAAATATTAACCTACACTTACTAGAGCTATAGGTACCTATGAAGTAAACAGGGAGTTATTCAGCTATACTCTTACTTAGAGGGGCCGCTGTTTTCCAGTTTCATCGGTTGCATGAGAGGCAGTTTCGCTTCTCTGAAGGTGTCCGGCCATTCCAGCGCTACGAAAGTCCGCCCAGCCAATTAGCACCATGTTACTAGTATCCACGCTCATGGAGAACCGAGATAGCCGATTACAAACTAATTCTAACATTTGAAGCCTTGCCAAGTGAACTTCCTTCATATCTATTTATTCAATTGTTATAGATAAGCAGTGCGTAATGTTGGCGTTGTTGAGGAGTCACACTGCTGAATTGTTACACTGTTGAGGAGTTACACTGCTGCGTTCTCCGCTCATGCCGGTTCCCCAAGAAATAGGCTGACCATGTCTACTCAACTAGTAAAGGTCATTTCCCCCGCCAAAAGTAGACACTAACTGATTATGTATAATGTTACATTAATAAGCCAGCAAAAAGCGAAGATTGCGCTTCTTTCACTCCATTCTCTCCAGTCTCTTTGTAGCTCTCTTTTTACTTTCATTCCATAGTATTAGTAAAAACATAGGAATACGATGACGAGAGAGAAGAGGAAGGAGAGGGCGAGAAGAGAGAAGGTAGCCAGAATTAAAATTACAGCACTAACCATATTTGGCGCTGAATTACGACTCTAACGGATCTAGGTATAGATAGCGCTACGCCGAATAGTGGGCCCTGCTGATCAGGATGCTGAATCATTGTTGAGGGAGTGCTCAATGACGTTTGCTCACTCGACGGCGTTACTTCTACTCCCCTATTACTCAACTGGCCACGCCTAATCATCTTTCGCAATGACTCTCGACGACCTCTCATGGGCGAGAATAGCCTTTACGAGCGCCATCGCGGCGCTCGTATATGGTGTAATGCGACTGATTCAGGTTCGCCACTCCTATAAAGACCTCGTTAGTCAAACATCATTGTCGCGCATGTGATGCGTATGTGTGTTAACTAACATCACATATAGCCTAAGCCTCCTCACAGCTTCCTCTTCGGTCACCTGAAGCTGTTCGGCGAGATGTTTGGTATGCTACCGAATGACACGCACTATCAAGTTGTCGTCACAACCATTGCAAAGAAGTACAATATGCCGGGTATCTTCTATCTCGACTTGTGGCCGGTCTCATGGAGCCATTTGGTCGTCATAGATCCTGACGTCGCCATGGAATTCACCGTTACCCGGAGCCATCCCAAGCATGAAGCCGTCAGAAGGACGACTGACCCTCTTATTGGAAAAGGTAACATTGCCAGCGCGGAGGGACCGCACTGGAAGCATCTACACAAGATGATGAGTCCGGCATTCTCCATTACGAACATCACTGAGATGAGGCCGATTGTCGCCACCGAAGTCATGAAGTATCGATCCATTCTGCAAGAAAAAGCAAAATCGGGAAAGGTTTTCCGGCTTGAAGATTTGGCTCATCATCTGACATTTGATATTATCTCGAGAGCAGCGACTGGACGGTCATTTGACACTCAGACAAAGGGAAGTCTTGCTTTGCAGCATTTCGAAGCCATGGTTCGGGCTTCCATGAAATCAAGAGAATCTTTCAACTACATCGGCAACTTCTTTGCCAACAGAGTGCGAGATCGCGAAAGGCGCAAACTGGACGCGCTAGTGGCGGAACTCATCAAAGAAAGATTCGATTTTGTAAAAAGTAGGTGGCTCATCTTGCAGACTAAAGCCTCATTACTAATACCAGTATCATCTCAGATAGCGACCTTGACCTGTCCCAGAAACGAGGGCTTTGTATTATGGACCTTATGCTGAGAGATTATTTTCAAAGTACTGGAGAGAACAAAAGAACCGAGCTCGACTCTGAGTTCTTAACAAATGCGATTACTCAGGTCAAGACGTTACTTATCGCTGGTAGCGGCACAACATCAGATACGGTCTGCTTTGGACACATGCTACTGAGTGTGCATCCAGAAGTAGTTCAAAAGATGCGCGAAGAGCATGACCATGTCTTCGCTCCCGGCATCGATGCGACATACGACCTTCTCAAGGCTAATCCATACAAAATGAACGATCTTGTTTATACGATTGCTGTCATTAAAGAGATTCTCAGGTTCTATCCGATAGGTAACACTGCTCGTGAAGGAATGGACACTCTCACCTATCAAGGTCAGCAATGGCCATCTAAGGGGAAAATGGTTTGTCCTGTTCAGCTAGCCATGCATATGGACCCGAAGCATTTCGAAGGTTAGTAGCATATGTACCGTATTGCTTGGGAGACATGACGGCGGTGCTAATATGAGCTTGTTGGTAGATCCCCTCAAATTCGATCCTGAGCGGTTCATACGCCAAGACTATACACGGATTGCATGGCGCCCGTTCGAACGTGGGCCTCGTGCTTGTATCGGCAAGACACTCGCGATGGATGAACTAACACTTGTCTTCTTGTTAACTGCGAGGGATTTTGACTTTGCGTGCGCAGATCTCAAGCCGAACAAGACCTCCAGGACAGAATGGAACAATCTTGATTTGACCTTTGGAGACAGAGCATATCAGGAATTTGTTTTCGAAGCCTCACCGCGCGACGGCATGCCAATGACCGTCAAAAACTCCGACTGGCCGTCGTGATTGGGGCTTGTTACTACTACGTCGAAACAGGAAAGGCTACCGGACGATCCGTATACATGATTAGCGTATGCTTACATACAGGGGTCTTAAGGCTTACATTTTCAATAGCATGTCTGTCCATAAATCTAAAGATGCCAATGAGATGACGGATGTGGATCGGATCTTGTTTGTCCACCAAACGGCCGAAACGCGGCAGACTACCGGACAAGGTCGTAGCTGGTGATTGAATGCCATGATCCCAAACTGAGATTAGCATATGCTCCTTTCATCTCCGCCCCCTCCCGCCTCCCCGCAGATTGTCTACTGTTGAATAATGACAATGATTTCGCTAGCTTCTTGTTCCCGCAAACAACCCGATAATTTAGTTGTCCATGTAAGTATGTAAGCATCAACGCCACTTATGTAATCTCAACTTTCCGCTCCTCGGACGAAAGAGCACCATTCAGGCAGAATACACAGCAAATGGAATAACAAGAAACCTCATCTAGCGTGAACCCCTCACTCGGCAGTGCAGGTAGCGTGGGGCTCCGCACGCGGGTCGGCTCAAGGCTTGGCTACCGCATCCCTCCAGAATAAGCATTCCAGAGTTGCTTCGGTCGTCATACTGGCCCAACGCCGCACAAAAGTGGAACTGCACCTAGAACAGGACCACCCAGTCGACATGGGCATGACGTGTAGACATCGTGGTATGATGTCGCTACTTACCGTGTCCTGCTGAAGGGTCAGCACTACGGCTATTTACACTTGTATAAGATACAAGCTAGTAGGCATCTGGATTGAATACCATCTGAATCTTTGTTCAGACCGTCGACATCATGTTTATCTCGCCCCGTCCCTTGTCATTGTTACTTCTTACAACTGGAGTGCTCGCCCAGGGTAACTTCCCGGATTGCAAGAATGGACCACTGAAAAATGTGACCATTTGCGACCCTTCAGCATGTGCGTCGCCTTCATAAAATATTACTAGTCTTTTTCCTACTGACAGATATCAGCTACGCTCGCTCGTGCAAAGTCTCTTGTAGCACTGTACACGCTCGAGGAAAAGATCAATGCTACTTCTAACACTGCGCCTGGCGTTGCCCGTCTCGGTATCCCACCTTACCAATGGTGGAACGAGGGACTTCACGGCATTGCTGGTCCATTTACTAGCTTCGCCAAGCAAGGTGACTACAGCTACTCGACCTCATTCCCCCAGCCTATCTTGATGGGTGCTGCCTTCGACGACGACCTGATTACCGAGGTTGCAAAGGTTATTTCTACCGAGGCGCGGGCTTTTAACAATGCCAACAGAACGGGTCTCGACTTCTGGACGCCCAACATCAACCCCTTCCGTGACCCTCGATGGGGTCGTGGACAGGAGACTCCCGGAGAAGATTCGTACCACCTTAGTTCTTACGTTAAGGCTTTGATCCACGGACTCCAAGGTAACGAAACGGATCCATACAGGCGTGTGGTTGCTACCTGCAAGCACTATGCTGGTTACGATATCGAAAACTGGAACGGCAACCTCCGCTACCAGAATGATGTTCAGATTTCACAGCAAGACCTTGTGGAGTACTACCTAGCTCCATTCGAGGCTTGTGTCCAGGCCAATGTTGGTGCCTTTATGTGTTCTTACAGTAAGTTGTGGAAACTAGTAATCCAAATGAGCTTGTGACTAATGCTACCCCAGACGCCGTCAACGGTGCGCCACCATGTGCCGACCCCTACCTGCTGCAGACAGTTCTCCGCGAGCACTGGGGCTGGTCCAGTGATGAGCACTGGGTCACATCTGACTGTGACTCTATCCAGAACGTGTACTTGCCCCACCAATGGTCTTCGTCTCGTGAGGGCGCTGCTGCCGACTCTTTGAATGCGGGTACTGATCTTGATTGCGGTACTTACATGAAGTCTCATTTACCTGGAGCTGTCAAGCAGGGTCTCACAAATGAGACTGCCCTTGATAAAGCCCTCGTTCGCCAATATTCTTCTCTCATCAAACTTGGTTACTTTGATGCACCTGAGAAGCAGCCCTATCGCCAGCTCGGCTTTGATGCGGTAGCGACTAGCGCTTCCCAGGCACTCGCACTCAAAGCTGCTGAGGAGGGCATTGTTCTGCTGAAGAATGACGGCGTTCTCCCAATCAACTTCGGCTCGAAGAACATTGGTATCTACGGTGACTGGGCCAACGCCACTTCGCAAATGCAGGGCAACTACTACGGAGTCGCCAAATTCTTGACTAGTCCATACATGGCCCTTCAAAAGCTTGGTGTTAACGTCAAATATGCAGGTGGCCTTCCAGGTGGTGCTGGAGATCCTACTACAGCCAACTGGCCTTCCCTCTCTGGCGTCATCACCACCAGTGACGTCCACATTTGGGTCGGCGGAATGGACAATGGCATTGAATCCGAAGATCGTGACCGCTCTTTCTTGACCTTGACAGGTAGCCAGCTTGATGTCATTGGCCAGCTCGCCGACACTGGAAAGCCTATTATCGTAGTCATCATGGGAGGTGGTCAGATCGATACCTCCCCACTCATCAGGAACCCCAAGATCTCTGCTGTCCTGTGGGCTGGATACCCCGGTCAAGATGGTGGCACTGCCATCGTCAACATCCTCACTGGAAAAGCTGCTCCTGCAGGACGTCTCCCACAAACACAGTATCCATCTAAATACGTCTCCGAGGTACCAATGACAGACATGACCATGCGCCCAAGCGACAAGAACCCTGGCCGTACCTACAAGTGGTACACCGGCAAGCCCATCTTCGAGTTCGGCTACGGTCTGCACTACACCAACTTCTCCGCTAGCATCAGCAACCAGCCCAAGCAGACCTACGCCATCTCCGATCTTGTCAAAGGCTGCAACGGCACCGGCGGCTTCCTCGAACGCTGCCCCTTCACCGGCATCACCGTCAATGTCCACAACACAGGAAAGACAGCATCCGACTACGTCACTCTCGGCTTCCTCGCCGGCTCCTTCGGCCCCAAGCCCTACCCCAAGAAATCTCTCGTCGCCTACGACCGCCTCTTCAACATCGCAGCTGGCTCTTCTTCCACCGCTTCGCTCAACCTCACGCTTGCGTCTCTTGCGCGTGTGGATGAGTCCGGCAACAAGGTCTTGTATCCTGGAAACTACGAGTTGCAGATTGATACTGCGCCGCTTGCTAGCGTCAAGTTTTCTCTTACGGGCAGTGAAACGACGCTGAGTAAGTGGCCGCAGCCGCCGTCTAACCGGACAGGCCAGGGTGTGGAGTTCTTCGGGGATTATTGGTATGGCGGGAATTAAGGCCAGGGCCAAGAGTAGGGGATGTGCCAAGTTGTCGAATGACGCTTCGGAGGTTCATTGTTATCGTGCCTTTTTTTTCTTGATCAGGCACTTTTACCAACATCCTTCTTTTCTCCGTAGATATTTTACCAATTGACCACATCGAGTAGAATATTCACTTCTTTTCATCTTTTTGAATCTCAAAATCAATGATGTTCATTCAAAATATTGTGCCATCGCTTGCTTCAGTAACACTTGATTAAACATCTCCGGCATGATGTTGTTTTTTGCAATTTACAACTTGCTAGCGTAACCTCCAACGCTCTTCACAAAAATAATCTTCATTGGACTCTCGACCAAATCTTCTTCTTTGAACGCCTTGCCTACTCGAACACCGATGTCGCTTTTTACGTGAAAGTCGAGTGCGGCTTGGTTCTCGTATCTGTTGTTGGCGCAGACATCGTTAGCTTGGACGTGTGAAGCGTGTGCACTTTGGAGAGTAGCGGTGAAATGCCGAAATGAAAGAACAAGAATTGAGATGGTGAGGCAATGGAAATAGGATGACATACTTCTCCAGCATGACAAACCTTGGTTTGTCGCCTTTGATTTCGCGGTGGAGATGGTAGCGCAGAATGCCAGGTTCAGTTTCCTTTACGATTTGCGCGGCTTCGGTGAGGATTTCCTGGACCTATTCATTGCAATATCATGTTAATAATGTCAAGATTCGGTAACGGCTAGGCTTTCCGAGTAGGCGGAACGCACTCTGTCTGCTTTTCCGGCTTTGGGTTGCACGAAGGCGATGATTTCGATTGGGCGAGACATGGCTTGCGGTTCAGATAGAGTTTTATTAAGGGTAAAGGTGCCGATGCGAAATGTGATGTAAACCAGGGGAAAGAGATGTGGCGGGGAAGAAGGAAGGTGTGGAATGCGGCTAGGATTGATTAAATGCAAGATGCCATCTTGCTGGGGTTAACGACGGTGGTATACGCGGTGAAATGGCATTTTTGCTCCACTCTGGACTAACTACATGCATGGCTATGTGGATCCGAAAGATACCGAGGTATATTGCGGCGTAAGCTATGGGCGATGTCTCATCTTTTCGCCTCGTCAGATTATAGGTGTAGGAATATGTAGCTAGTTGTTTAGACATGTCGATTACCGTGGTCGTGCGAGATGAAAGGCCGCGCTTGAGGCGGTGTCGCGATAACAAAGTCAAACTGACTAAACGCAGCGACCTGGCGCTACAAGAGACTAGTACTCGACGCGGGGTCATCCTGGCATGAATACGCAGGAGATTCTGTCTATGTCCCGCGATTTCTCGGTCTATGCTCAAAGTGGACTCGGGAAACATGACGACTTTGGTTTACGTGCGGCAACGGTACGACACGGTCCGCTAGTCCTCGTACCCTTGACCTTGCAAAAGAAGGTCTAGAATATGGAGGTTTGGTTCACAAATTTCAACCTAGTGCGATGTTCAAATGCTATGCCTAAATACTCATGTTCCAACCAAGAGTTCCGTATTTTAGTCCCAGCCGTGCATTAATGCCATGATGCATGGTGTCACTTTCTCCGCTGATAACGTAACATTTGCACGTTACGTATGTAATATTGTATTTTACGAGATAAGATCTTCTTGCGGGCGAGTCAGGTTCGTCCGGTTCATACGCTGTAAGCATCTCCGTGTCCGTGTATATGGTCAAATGCCCTCAAGAGACCATATAAATGGGCAATGCCTGCGCATACAACCAAGCAATGCATAATCTGGTGGCTTGCGCCCCACACGTCAAATCGATAAGGATACCACTTCTCAGGAATCTATTCTTCATCAGCTTCATACTCTCACGGCAGAACTGAATTATTTCGGATTCAGTTACTCACCCTCATAGCGTACAGGGCCCCACCAGTAAGGTTGAATGTCGTCATCAATGCCATCCAGTCCAGACTCATTCAACCAAATATCGTGATTCCATGAACGATGGGAATAATGAACGATAGCCCAAGGCCCGCATACATGGCTGCACGGTATGGGCGATATTTTGGACGACGGAAAGCAGGGTGAAGAGTTGCGTACACGCAACCGGCCGCTAAGACTGATACAAGGGTGTAATAGGTCTTTTGTAGATGTGGTGTGCAGTAGAAGCCGTAATAAACGCAAGGAATTGTGGAGCTCCACATCAAGATAACAATACCTAGCTGTTCAAATGAGCTGTCGGTTGCCAATGATAGATCAGATGTTTTTACGTAATCGAGTTGGTTTCCAAATATGTGGACACTCTGGCTGTGGTTGTTGAAGATGTGGAAGCTGTGTTGCACGTGAATACCCAGGTATTACAAGGCAGGTATTCGAGAATACCTACATGGCCGACAATGCAAAACACATAGCAACACCAAAGAAGAATGTCGAGAAGACAACGACATCTGCTGTAGTTGCCGTGGCGTATCTTGGTTGCAAAGACCAGTAAATGGGCATGGGTAGAGTAAAGAAGATGATAGACCCTATTATATGCGAGAATATATTGACTAGACGATGTTTTAATTATGTTCTTCTCGGCCGGTCGAGCACAGCCCTACCTGTTTCGTTATGAATGCCGAGAATACTTCCCAAAGATCGTTGGTAAGACCGGGATACTTCCCTGAATTCCCTTTCAGTTACTGAAGAATATGCTAATATGATACTTGAACACGTACCTATAACTAGACAAAATATACTCATTGTCCCTTGTCTTGGTAAGGTCATGATTAGGATAGATGATATATCAAAGTACGTACTGGTACCAGTCGGCTATGAAGACTGTTAGCTATTCGTAACAATATTTCAAGTGGTTGTCGTACGTATCTCATCCCATGTCAATAGTGATGTACGCTCTTTGCTCTTCATTCGATCACGTGGGTCAGCCTGGCGGGTGTCAGTCTCAAAGTTGATGCTCCTGGTGATCTTTTACCTACTGCGTTTTCTGCAACCACTGTCACTGTTGAGGCGGACTTTCGAGAACGAATATCCATCTTACGGTTCGATAGAGTTCTGGTTTGAAGAGATCAAGTCGGTTGGGAAAGTGGAAGCGTACGCGCTCCAGTGCAAGAACGGGAAGGTCAGTGCACGGATCAACTTCAAGCGCCCAACACCCACATGGTGCTGAATCCTCCCACTCCTTCATGCTCAGGTTCATGCCGACCGTCCAATCAACAAGCCGAGGTTAACTCTTGACGTGCATGGCTTTCAGCCGATCTTGAGCATGCAGCCAAGGCCGAGCGTACCTTACAGAGAGTGGGTGAATCTACGTACAGGATTGGATCAGATGCCGAAGTGCATTGCACTGCATGTTTCATGGTCCTGTGGCGTAGTAATACTTGCAGTGTTGTTTTTGACCAAAATCATTACCAACTATCATCATCTGCTACACTGTCGCGGGATGTGTGCTTCAGTACGCGAAATCCTTCATAGGCCTTATATCTGATACACGGCTTCGATCCTACGTCTATTTTGCCGCCCAGTTACACTAGCACAACCTACAGCGGCACACTGCAGATGGATGATGGCTTGATGATAGTTCAAGCGGGACTACCCGTCAACTTAGGTCCACTTTCATCTACACCTTTTACACTAATCTATCCAGACTATGTCCTTAGCATCGTGCAGCTCTGTCCTCTTCCTTGTCCAAAAAGTCACTGCCATCAGCGGGAACAAAGTCAACGTCACAGATACTGTAGGCTTTGTTCAAGAAGATAATGAGCGGGATACGATTTCTCTGCTTATTAGCTGTTTTGCCACGCTTGGGCTGTGTGTTTACTCAGCCGTTCACCTAAACATACCGCGCAAAGGCGAAAGCAACTATCGAGTGCTACTGAGGGAATTGCAATGGTGTGTCCTCGGCCTATTTGCACCTGAGTTGATACTATACACCGCCTGGAGAAAGCTGGCTTCTGCAAGACAGCTATGTGTTGAGATAGCAAATGTAACAAGTCAGCAGCAGGACACCAATGAGACTTGTGACAAGGTTAGCTCGTTGATCATTAGATACCAGCATTGCTAACCAGTACCAGAATACAATAGTGACTGAAACTCATCTGGGGCGCCCAAAAACCCCATGGACTATCACACATGGATTTTACGCTAGTATGGGTAGTTTCGCCATCGAGCTAGACAGTACCAACCGTCGACATTCAACGTTGTTCAACGATCTGACGCGCCTCACCTTAACGGCGAAAGGTGTCGCACTACTCACCAAGTGCGGACATGTTGTAGAGATATCACTCGACGATATCAAAGACAAGAACAAAGCAGACGGTCTTGCAAAACTCCTTGTGTGCATCCAAGCAGGATGGATGATCGTCCAAGTTATCAGTCGCACTGCCATCGGACTGCCAACCACCTTGCTCGAAGTACACGTCGTCGCCCATGTTGTTTGTGCGCTCGTCATGTACATCTTATGGTGGCACAAACCTCGTCAAGTAACCTCCCCAACCATCTTAAAGGGAGACTGGATGCCTTTGATCGCCTACATGCACATGGCAAGCCGAATGGGTGGGAAGCAACCACAAAGCAAGCTCGCTTTCTTCAGATCAGCCACTCCCGAACTGGCAAAGCTGGCTTACGTTGAAAACGAAAATGTACCAACCGGTACGTGTGGCGACAGGCAAAGTTTGAATACAACCCGCCTCTCTACTGCTAGTAGATTGCGGCCACGGCCCGATATCCGGATTGCGAACCAAGAAGCCGAGGCAGCATCATGCAACTCTCCGATAGAAGCTACGTCTGAGCTGCAAAGGCTTGCAGAAGAAGCTATTCGGCTATATCCAGTTCTTCAAGACCATTTTCACCCAGTATCCGAGAGTGAATGCGCAAAGCCTACATACAAAGTGCCTGAAGTAACAGAACTGGTACAACCATACGCCATCGACTGGCCCAACGATGGTTTACTCCGACGCACCCAATCCCTCGTCATGGGAATGGTACTTTGGGGTGCGTCGATGGCATACGGCGGCATACACGTAGCGGCATGAAATTATTTCTTCCCCACTCCACTGGAGCAACTGTTTTGGGGCATGAGCTCGGTATGGGTAACATTCTGTGCCGCTTTTTGGCTGGTGACCAATCTCTTAGCCCATGTTTTCCCTCTCATAGACAGGATCTGGAACACCTACAACCAGCGGACATTGAGCATTCTTCGTACGGTGTTCATTACGACTCTCTGTGTTTTGTGTGGTGTGAGTTATATTGTCAGCAGGGCATATATAGTGATAGAGGCTTTTGTGAGTATAAGGGAAGTGCCACGAGGCGTGTATAAGACACCGACGTGGTCACAGGTCTTTCCTCATTTGTAACAAGACGACCTTAGCTTAATCTTCTATTTTCTCAATCATCAAGTATACAAATGCGTTACCTATTAATTGTGGGATCGATGCAAGTCATTATACAGCCATGAAAGCAATCATAGTGCACGTTACAGGAAAATCCAATATCGAATCACCTTTAATTTTCGATAGCTCTTACGGGGATCTCAAAACCAAGATCGTATTGGGTAAATTCATGGGAGAAATTCATCTTGATAGTCAAACGGGTATGGTGAAAGTATGTTACGAGGTTTTCTATGAACTGTAGATATTGATCAGGTATTCGACAGCGAGCTCACATGTGCATTTGCTTTCGCTCACGCAGTGCTAAGTGGGCTCTTATATCGACTTCTGAGAGAGTCTTTCATCGAAGAAATGCATTTCCATGTATTAGATTGAGTAAATTCTGCCACACGGCAGTTGTTTTTTCGATCTCGAGCATTCAAATACGCGCCTTCGAGTACCAGCCTACGCGTGCCAGTGGAGGCGTATGATTTCAAGACGACATTGGATACATGGCGAGAAACCATTCGTCTCAATGAAACAGTCTCATTGATGAATCTCCAAAGTTCGGATCTGGGTAAGCTGAGTAGCTCTGAACATGCGATTTAGCTTTGAAAATTAAAAAATCAATCACTACATGTGACATAAACAAGACTTGCGTTTCAAACGATACTTTGCGCACGCCTCATAACCGTTTCGCATAACCGTATAACAGGAGCAAGAAATGACAACAAAGGAAAACGACCAAAAAAGGACGGGGCGATGGTCCAGAACGAACGTGGACAAACCCGCCATCCCCCCTTGCAGAAGCGTGGCGCCAACGACCCAGCGACCAGTGTACTAAAAAGCATCCTAAAACAACGGGGCGAAGCCACAAATCAGCCCTACCAAGTATCTCGTTGATTACCAGAATAAAACTGAAGTCTAATTGGATATCGTAAAGTAAAAGCGTAAGAAAAAAGGGGGGAAACGCCTGATACCCAAGGCAGGATTTCCCTTCGTGGTCCGGTACATCGTCTCAACTCGGGAAAAAAAGAAAGAAAAAAAAGGGCATACGAGCTGCCAAACATGAGAAAGAACAAGAAAAGTAGAAAGTAACGCGACACCTAGGAAAGCTCGACGTCATCGTCGGCGCTCCCATCAGCAACCTCCTCATACGGCCTGCGGAAACCCCCCGGATCCGCCGACTCATCAATCTCCAGCCGTTCCCCCTGCCGAACCTCCGTAACATCCTCCACAACCTTCAATTCAAGCGCCTTCTTCGCCTCCTCCAACTCCTCCATCTCCTTAACCCTCATCATCTCCTTCTTCTTCCGCTCCTCCTCCTCCTTCGCCTCCTTCGCCTTATCCCTCGGATCCCCCGTCTTCTGCCACAATTTCAGTGCGCCGCTCCTAAACGCATCCCAATACCTCTTAACCTCTGCCGTGACATCTACCTTCGCAGTGCCCTCCCTCCACACATCCATGGTTTCAATGACATCCTCCCACTCGAGCATGCGCGCGCTTCTGCCATCGTCGCCCGCAAAGTGCACGACAAAGTGTCCCTTGCGGGCTTGAAACCATTTTAGACTTGCAGGCTGCGCGCCCGCTGCGAAATCGACAATGCTGTTGTTGGGCGCTGGGTACGCATTGAACCAGTACCAGGGGACCCAGGCTGCTTTTTCAGACCACCCGGGCTCGCTGAGGAGCCGCGACATGGCTGTTTGTTCTGCAGAGGGTAGACGGTCGTTGGGACGGTAGTATCGGTATCCGAGGATTGTGCTGAAGAGTTTGGCGGACCACTCGTTTACTTTGAAGAGGAACAAGCCGGCGTTTAGGTCGCCGGCGTCGCGATTGACGATGAGATTGACGTTTGCGTATTCGGGGGTGTCTGGGGGGAGGAAGCTCGAGAGGGGACGGCACGGGTCCATGATTATGGCGTCACGGTCGATCCAGAGGATCCATTCTAAGCGGGTGTGGTTGGGCTTGAGCAGCTCGTTTTGGACGAGGTGGAGGAGGAAGGCGATTTTGTTCCAGGCGCCGTCGGCGAGGTCTTCGCAGAGGATGTGGGCGGAGGTGTCGTGAACGGCGGCGTGGAGCATGTGGGATTGGACTGCGCGTTGGTAGGCTTCTACTTTTTTGCCAGTTGTGATAGAGGCGAGGGCGACTCGGCGGGTCTCTTTGGTTTCAAAGGGGGCGTGCTTTGCGCATGATTCTTTGCGTATGACTGCTTGTCCCTTCCAGTGCTTGTCGAAATCTGGCATGCATTGTGTGTGGCCGTAGGAGATGTGCGTTTTGCTGAGGTCGAGCGATGGAGTAGGGGTACTAGAAGCAGATGAAGCGGATGTACTGGAGACTAAAGGAGCGGATGTAGCGGATAGTGAAAGAGTAAGTGTGCTCGATGGTGAAGGAGTGAACACATCGGATGCTGCCAGAGTGGCACTAATTGATGCTGATAGATTGTCAGTTGTAATTCTGTAGTTATAATTGCTCTCAAGTCTTCATACCCTGGGCGTCTTGTGGTTGTGCCTTTTGCACATCTTGGAACCATGTCGATTTGGAAATGTCGCTCTGCTGCAATGCAACTGGTTCTGGCTCTAACCAGTAAACTTGATAGAGAATGCAGAGGGACAGTATTCCCAATAGGATCTTTGGGACGAGTGACGCCGCTCGATGCATGGTGCAAGGACTGCGATGTGAATCTGGCAAGGAGGCGGATCGGTCAAAAGTGAACACTGCTTATCAGAAATGAGAACTGAAGGTTCAGGGAGCCATAGATTTTACGATAGTTTCCACATCAGCTGGTGGCGATACGGACGTATTTCACAAAGCCACAGTCGCGCCATAGCGCAAGCCATGCGCCCCTAGTCTGGCTTTTGGTGTAATCTCCTAGTCGTACCGGGTTCCTGGATCTACTATATGCCGTGATAAGGTGACATCCACTGCTGCATACATGTCTCAAAATATATACACTTGGTACGATAAATGAGCCAAGTTCAAGAACCCGATGCTTTTTATTTCGCTGATAGGCTCAGGCTCTGCACGGAACGCCCGGACTCTTTTGGCGGGGTCGTTTTTGACGTACGCACCAACATCCGTCGTAACATGCATACGTATACGAAGCATGGATCAATCCAAAAGGGGCAAACTATGTTTTCCTGAAAATTTAGGTCGTCGTATCGAGAAGTATTTTAGTCGCAGTGGCGTCTAGCGGGTGCCCTGCGCCAGCTGAATAATCCGATACGGAGTTTGATTTTGCGGTATGCTTACTGTTCTTATCGAAAGCTACTAGGTCCTTGGAAAGCACGGGTGAGAAGGGTATGTGTCCAAATTGTTTCTTTGTCAGGGATTTTCACCGAGATTTCCAGCGTAGTAGATCAAGCATCAAGTTCAACGTTGGATGCTTATTGGCGCGTTTGGCGTTTCTAACTAGTAAAAAGCTTAATGAAAGTTTGTTTTTCGGGGGGGTTTCTGGAACCAAAACCGAGCGAGACGAGTGGAGCGACTAGCAGCCCAGGACCTTGCCTTCTTCATCATGACATACGCAAGCTCATAAGCGGATCGGGGCGCTAATAGACTGGATTGATCCTTGAACAGGCGTCAATGTTTGATCGTACGTTTGAAGATATGGTGTACCTGAATTCTTCTGCTTCGCAGTGGACTATCCTATGCGAATGATAAAGAAATAAGATAAAAGTAAGTATACGTCGGACGCTGAAGGGTGGTGCGATGCGACATGGGACCGGGCTGTGAGTTCGGGGCATTGAAATGACATAAGCTGACCCGTAAGCTGTGCAGAAGTTGAGGCATGATCCACACCGCTAACATGATGTGCTTAGATTGGATTTGAAGAATTTGCAGGAAACATTCTGATCATACCGGCCAGATAAGTAAGCTTGCGATGGTGATGCTTCGCAACACACCAAATCTTGGCGCGTGATGTTGCCGAACGAGCGCACCACAACTGCAGGCTGATTTTTTTTGGGTATCAGTATCTAGCACAGAGATAACAGTCGGTCAGAGGCCAGAGGTGCAACTCAAATCTGCAACACCGTATAGGGGTGGGGGATCTAAAATTATCTCGGCATAGTCCGTCGTATTTGTCCCGTAACGCTGCGGTACATGCGCATACAATGTGATGATGCATAAATTGCAGAAATAACGATAGACATATGGAAGATGGCTTACGAGAGTAATGGTACTTTACAGGCCAGTTTCAAGGGATTTTCACTATACCTTGCTTACGCGGTGCCTTCACGGTAGTAAGCGCTTGGAGCTGTGTGTTGCGCGTCTGATGCTGGCACTGATTGAAACATGCGTTATGGTAGTTTTGAGGAGATGCTGGGCGACTCTCTTATCTGTGATTCCTGGCCCGAAGAATTCATACTGCGTTTGCGTCAAAGAAACGGTTCAAGGAACTATGGATCAACTCTGGCAGTGCACGATGTGCCAAGCCGCTAATATTGCTGACTAAAACGGCTTCTCGCAGCTCAGCATCATCGCGAATACAACGGCCGACGACCTTCAAACGCCGCCTTACACTCACACGATGCAGTCACTCCGCCGGACAGCAGTGGCTGCTGCCCGCACGAGCCGAACTCCGCTATCGCGCCAATCGCGCCGCTACGCACACGACGAAGCTCATGGCCATGCAAGCCCGGCCGTTGACGAGCCCATGGGCGTATGTCCCCTCCCTCCCCATTGCCCCGGCCCAGCTCAATCATGTATTCAAAATACTACAATACCATTCTGGACGACCACCAAGAGATGAAGAGGAGATATGCTGACGCAATTGGCATTTGTAGTGGGGTTTCTATGGCACAATTGGCGTTATCCCCGCAGGCTTGGCCCTATACAGCCTCTCGCGCACCGACGGCGATGACAGCAAGCCATACTTTACCCGTTTGATTGCCGATGCTACGACCGGACTGCACGACAAGTGGACTGCGCAGAACGATTTGCACGTGAGGATGATTGAGCAGGCGGGCGAGGACCGTGTGCTGTTTCTG